TAAATGTTAATACAATTTAGGGTGTTTTAAACAAGTGAATCTTGTTAAAAGTTACATGCGGTGGCCGTGCTGGAGCATTTCCTGAGCATCAACCATATCAACCCGGTGAGTGAACAGCAATATAAAAGCGGCTTCACGAGTCTAATGATGAGCAAATATACAACAGAGAGAGAACTAAATTCAGCACTTTTATTTCCAACATGCGCTCATTCATGGCTGAATTATTTAACTCATGCAAAATTACGTCTTTATTGGGAGAGGATCTTAACGGATTATCTACATGACTCCGACTTCACGAGACTATCGATGAGCATAGACAACAGAGAGAATTCAATTCAGCGCTTTTATTTCCAACATGCGCTCATTCATGGCTGCATATTTAATTCAGGCAAAGTTACGTCTTTATTGGGACAGGACTTGACGGATTATTTTACATGACTCCGTGAGTTGGTCTCTATTTCTTAGAGCCAAGCTGCATAAACTACATATCAGGCATTTATGAAATGCATCTAATTTGTGCATAAATGGCTGTTATGTTTAATAAAGTTTACTAACTACAGCAAATCAAGTGCCTGCACGCCGTTGTTGTTGTCTAGTCTCCCCTCAGACGCGCCGCAATGGCGATCCTGTGCGCAATTCTCAAAACACCCACAAGATGGCGGTGTTTATCATGTAAACACATTTCATTACACCAAATACATAAAATAATGTTCTTTTTAGCAACATCATATGACCCCTTTAAATATTTGTTTGATTTGATTGTTGATTCTCTCACTGAACCATTACAAACTTGAATCACTCCAGGCTAATGTCCCCTCATAGATTTATCATATATGGAACTACATTTTCTAATCTGGCTCTTCCCTACTAGAAAAGACTGAGGAAAGAAAAACAGAATTCCAATTAAAAAGAACTACAGTGGATCACTGCATTCTGAGGAAGGATGTGTGGGCGACATGCATATTTTTTTAGAAGTATATTATAATTCTGAAACATTAGGCTAACTTATTGAGAGGACTCACCAGAGCCAGCCGTCCCAGAATGCACCACCTCCATGTATACCTCAAAGGGTGACCCGGGGCTCTCCCTGTAACAGAAATAACACAGGGTCAAGGGTCAGAAGTCAAATATAAAATCAACTCTAAGGAATGTGACTACAAAGTAAGACTTTTACAAGAAAATCAACAGTAAAATTTAGTATAGTTTAGTATTTTATATATTAATTTTAAAGTTGTTGTTTTGTTTTTTTAACACCGGCTCTGGTACCATGTTGATAGAAAAGCAGTAAATGTGAGCATGCAAAACATATGACTTCTGCAAAAATAGCATCCAGGCATAATGTCAGGCTAACAAATGAAAAATGTAATTAAATTGCTCTTGTCATTTAGGTGAGGGACCATGATCTGATGTGAGATCAAAAGTTAGATGATTATAGTCACATTCCCCACATTACAGAAAGTAGCAAAAAGAAGATCCTATTAGATTACCAAACCAGAAACCACAAGATAATTTTTTCAGCTATTTGGAAATGAATGTAGCCGAGTGTAATTTAAAAATAAAGCATTGACTAACAAACTTTTTCAAGTATTTTACAAGTGTTGCAGAAACCTGTGTGAGGAATGATTTGAATTAAAATTTGGTCAGAGTATGGAGCAAATACAACAGACATAAATCCATAACGATACTATTAGAGTAAAGTAAAGATACTATAATGATAATATTTAAACAACTTAAACATATAACCTAAACCTGTTCTAGAAGTGATTGTTTAAAAATATCAGAGTTCATGATATCTAATACCTTTACTATCAACTATTAACAGAAAGATCTACAAACTTCACACACTGAATGTCTTTTCCATCATGTGGCTGCACAAGTGAAGCATGTACTAATCTTTAAAGTGAGGGAAAATGTGTTTAAACCCCGACTTTGTTCTGTCCTTCAGGCTGTTTCCAAAACAGTCTTATCATGGGCTGATTTTAAACCCTGAAAAACACTGTGAGCACAGCAAGGCACTGACTGGCCTCTATCATGTCTTATTCATAAAGTGCATTGAATTACCAAAGCAAGTAAGTGTCACCTGTCAATAGACTCCAAAACCTCCATATAAATATATATTTCTACTTTCTTTCACATAGATATGCATTTGTTTGATCATGTTGTGAAGATTGTTTCTTATTAACATAACAAAGTTAACAAATTAATTCCTGTAGGACATGTAAACAATGATCAGTGACATGGACTTCGTGTGCATCCACCTATAAGACAGTACTGTACAAATACACAACCCTCCAGGTAATATAATAAATCAAAACAGAATTAAGTACTACGTTAACACCTAAAGTAAAATAAACACCCAAAGCACAGTCTCTCTCTGTCGCAACAAGTCTAAACGGGCCTTTTAGGGAGGTCAAAACTCGCATTTAGAACAACACTGTATGTAATACAGGAAGGGAGAGAGACATTGACGCTTACTTGATACGAGAGCCCATTTTATCCTCTATTTAAATCCAATCCTTTCCTCAGACTAATGTGACAATAACTCGCTGTCGGAGTTATATTTCCCGTTATCCCCGTCACATTCTGCACAGGAACGCCATGGTCTCCACGCGCGGATCACGGTACTACGGCCTCAGGGAATTATGGGAGTAGTAGTTTTCTGGGCGTGTCTCCAGCTGTCGATCGACACAACGCCGAACTACATTTCCCACACAGCGAAAAAATCGTGGCATACGAGTCGCCTGACACAGAAGGGAGTGTAGTATGAAGCCTGGGCATTGCAACAATGAATTGCAGTAACAACTGTCACAGCTGTATGGCAGATGGTCAGTGTGGATGTGCATGTTGTTAGGAGTGCTGTGACTGAGTCAGAGTCTACTGTGATATTTTGTTGATTGGGTTGCCTACGGAGCCTGTTGATGGGAAATAAACTTAAAATTAGGTTGTTGGTTGTGTTATTGTATTGTTCTTTCTTTCTTTTAGACACACCCATACACAAATAATAATAATAAAAATAATAACTATATATATATATATATATATATGCTGTATATAGATATTTGTTTGTTTGTTTCATTTGTGCATTTAAATTTTATACATTTTTACATGAACATTATATAATAAAAGTCAATTTATTATAGGCCTAGTATATTATCTCTGACTCAGAATAGAATAGAATAGAATAGAATAGAATAGAATAGAATAGAACGCATGCGCTTGTTTCAACATACATTGTATAAAGTGAATATGTATAAGCTATTTCTTGCTACTCCTAAAAATGACTTTAATTAGTTGCCTATAAACACTGTAGTCAAGTGAATTCAGTCATATTAACATGATTCAGGAAGGATCCGTGATTGAGGTGCTTGCGGGCAAACAGCGGTTACCTCCTCCTGTCCCTATAAGCGCGCGGAGTCCGAAGTATTTATTCAAAAGCCTGACTGAGTTGACAGACCTCCACAAAAAAACGGAAGACGGAATTAGATTAAATCTTTAGAGACATCTCATCATTTCCCTGACCCAAAGGAGTTATATAGACACCGCGGGAGAGAAGCACCGCACTGCTACTACAACATGGAAAACAACGAATCGGTAAGAATTCATTTTATTATTTTGTAATATACATATTAATAGATAAATCCTGTTTTTGTTGTTGTTGTTTTTACTGTCAGCAATGTGAAAAGTGAAAGTGTGCAGTTGTAAACTGTCTGTAGGTCAATATTGAACAAGTTGATTCAGTCATGTTAAATAATCATTTTGAGTTTATAAAGCCTGTTACTTTAGATGTTATAATATTACATACATTTTTATTTTATTTTACTAGTTACCTGAGAAGACATGTTTTATATTTTTATAAGACATGGAATAGGTATTCAATTCAGTATATAATATTTAGCCTACAGCATTAGCTAATTAATATGAAAAGTGAGAATTGTGTTTTTAAATATATATTAAGTTCAAATGAAGTATTAACAATATTAATATTAATATCAACACCATTAAATTAACAATTGTGTCACATATTTATATGTTTATATGTTGTGTATACATTTTAATGTTGCAAATACACAAGTTCTGCATGGCACAACTGTAGCCTACAGTGAACCACACAAGCTATATAGGCTATGAATGGTGGGAAAATATTCATGAATTATTTTTAGGCTGATTAATGAGGAAGTAGTCTGCTGCAAAACATTATTTATTCATATAAATACATTTAATATTCATGCATTCACAGTTTTTGAAAATGAACGAGAACTCGTAAAGAGCCATATAGGCCATATATGTATTCAACCGATTTTGGTATAATGTACACTCTAAAAAATGCTGGGTTAAATATAACCCAGCGCTGGGTTAAAAAGGGACAAACCCAGCTATTGGGTTGTTTTGACCCAGCTATTGGATTGGACAACCCAACCGCTGGGTCAAAACAACCCAATAGCTGGGTTTGTCCCTTTTTAACCCAGCGCTGGGTTATATTTAACCCAGCATTGTTTAGAGCGTATGACAACTTAAATTCAGAATGATTGATAGCGGCGGTAAATGTTTACCTGTGGTGTTCCAGGGCTGTGAGTCCCCGGTGTGCGCGGGCTGTGGCGCGCTGATCTCAGATCGCTTCTACCTGCTCACGGCAGCCAGAATGTGGCACGAGCGCTGTTTGAAATGCAGCGCGTGCCACGCTGACCTGGAGTCAGAGATCACGTGCTTCAGTAAACACGGAGACATTTACTGTAAGGAGGACTATTACAGGTAAAATAAGTGTGTATATATAGACAAACCTAGACAAAATATCTCTATTCAACTTCGAAACGAGACTGTTACTCACCGCGTTGCTCTTACTTCACACAGGGGCTAGTTGTCACAGCGAATATTTCTCAGAGTAGGTTTATTTTAGTACTTTTTTTTTTTTTGCTCTAATGTGTTTAATCCCCCATCATTATTTACCAGAAAGAAAAGAAAAAATGCAGTTAATTTAACGAACGTTGAACTTTCACCCCAATAAAGCGTCAGGTTATCACACTCTAAAAAA